TATTTATCTGCTCTAGTTTGATTGGCTCACTGTCATAGTTGAATTCAAATGAGCCATTATTACACCTTTACAATGTCTGCTGTGAACAGGACCCATAATTCATGCTCTGAAACCAGATAAAAGTCCATTTATTTTCAGGCAACAGCAGAATAATTTACTGTTCATTGTTCAAAAGGAATGAAAGCTGCAATTCCAACTACACGACTGATTTCATCTTCAACCTGTACTCAGAGGAGGGAAAAGGCATCTTTGACTGCCGTAAGAATGTCCTTGGACACATGCAGCAGGTGTGTTCATGAGGGGAAATGTCCAAACGCAATAATTGGTTTGCTCCTCATTTTTCTGTGATTTATTCTAACTGCGTGTCCTCTACCAACTGCAGGGCGGCACTCCTACACCCTTCGACAGAAACTTTGGCACAAAGATGGGTGCCAAGGCAGTTCTGTGGCTTACTGACAAACTGAAGGAGTGCTATAGGCATGGTATGTGCACTTAAAGCCAAACTCTGTGTTATATATGATGAAATATGCCGTTGTTTAAAGTTTTGAAGTAAAGTTTCTTGAATCTGATATATTTATATGTAGAGTTAATTTCATGTTGTAAAGTCATAGCAAAGAAAAAGTACACCTTCTGTCAGTTCTAAGTCTGTACATATCAAAATTAACCTTAAAATTAGGTTAATAAAACATACGATAAACAGCAACTCATGACCTGTTACATCATCTTGGGATTTATTTGACAAATGTGTGAAAAAGAAGGTAAGTAGCAGCCAGTTGCTGCCAATCTTGCACTTGATTAACTGATCGTCTTTAAGTGTGAGCACTTCTATAAAAGCAGAGCTTTTGGCGGTTTTCTGCTCTGCAGCATTCAAATGTGTGTTAACATGATGCCAAGGAGGAAAGACATCAGCAGAGCTGTTAGAGGAGCAACTGCTGCTGCCCATCAGTCAGATAAAGTCCATCATTCTACAGTGAGGATTGCTCTCCAGTGGAGATCACTCAGAAAAGCTCCCAGTATTTCCATGAGTGGATGTCCCAGCAAATTCACCCCAAGGTCAGACCATGCAATCCTCAGAGAAACTGCAAAAAACCCAAGTGCTACATTTCAGACTCTATAGGCCTCAGTTAGCACGTTAAATGATGACTTGGATTTGCAAAATTGCTTCTAAACAAACCACAAAACTCCTAGAACAATGTCCTTTTGAAAGACATGACCAAAGAGGGAGATATTTGGCCATAATACCCAGTGCTGTGTTTGGTCAGAAGAGACACTTCATATCAGCGGTCAAGCACGGTGGTGATTTCAGCTTGTTTTGCAGCCACAGGATCAGGGCACCTCTCTATTGAAGTATTCTACAGTTAAATGTGAGGCCATCTGTGTGACAGCTAAAGCTGGGCTGAAACTAGCTCGCACAGCAGGACAATGATCTCAGTCACACCAGCTAATCTACAACACAATAGCTGGAAAAGAAAAGAATCAAGGTGGTGCAATAGTCTAGTCAAGGTCCAGAGCTGCCATAAATATGTGGACATTAGAAAGACTGATACAGTGATACATAAAACTGCTGTACAACGGGGTGAGCTTTAGTTCTTCAAACAATGCTTCTGCTTTTTAATTTAGTTTTGGTTAAATAAACAATGAAACTGTGAAATTGTTCACAGAAACTGAAAAGGGTGCTGTTTTTAAAGCTGCTGAAGACCAGATGATTGTTTTTACGTTCAATGCTCTAATATGTAAAAGCTTCCAAGTGGCCGAACCAAACATTGACAACAATCGTGTAGCAGATCTACGTCATGTTTTGTCATTCTAAATGTACATTTTTCATACATAATCATATGTTATGAATATTCCTTTCAGTAAGTCATGTGGAATGTGAATCATGAATGAGTTAATCAGTTTGTCTTTGGGGCTTTTAGGTCGTATCTTTGCTAACACAGCAGACTCCGCTTGCGTGATGGGAATGAGAAAAAGGGCACTCACCTTCCAACCTCTCGCTGAATTGAAGGAAGACACAGATTTTGAGTATGATATATATTTTCGAGCTCACATGTTGTAAGAATATAAGTACAATAACAAGCATCCGAGTGAATGATCCCTCCCATCTGTTGCAGGCGCCGCATCCCTAAGATACAGTGGTGGCTGAAAATCAGGCCCATCATGAAGATCTTGGCTAAATATGACATCAAACTGGACACCTCTGAACACGCCGACTTGGAGCATGTGATCAAGAAGAGTAGCTTTCTTGGGAAGTAGACGCCATCTGCTCCCTGTTAGCACGCAGTTGGACAGGGGGATTTTGTTCTTTTCCATAAACAAACTTATGTTTTCTTGTTTAACCATCTGTCTGCCTCAGTAAAAGAGCTGCTATCTTTCCTGTCCTGATTGTTTGCTTCCTCTTTGTAGCCCTCCTCATCCTGAAAAGCTTTTCCTGAATACACAGTGCAGAAGAAAACAAGCCATTAAAGATGACTGATAATCCCCCCAAAACACTGTGTTGTTGGTGATTAATGCCAGTTAATGTGAACTGTCCAGAGAAACTAGCAGACTAATTTTTAATTTACACTCTATTTTGGAAATGGTGTCTGATCAAAACCCATACAGCGAACACAGTGATTAAAAGTTTACATATTTAGCAACTGCGTGACCTGATGATCATCTAGATGTCATTTAGTGTTTTTGTTTTGTTTTTCCTTGTAGCCATAGTAAATTGTACCCGTTACACCTATACATATGAATTTTAGGTCACTGGAAGCGCTGATATAATTACACCTAATGCATCTGAATTAGTAAGCCTCAATCACAAATCTTTAGAAAACGTCCTTTACTCCAAGAGGTTCTTGCCCCCGAAAATTTTGAACCCCAATTGAAAACCATTGATGTCTGGTAAAAGCAGCCAGCTATAATAACGTGATCCATCGGTGCACATTCAGCCTCCTTTTCTTTATCCTGATTTTGAACAATACTTGAGCTGGGTGCAGCTAAAGATGGACTCATAGCGATCTGTTTAAATATCCTCTGCACATATTCAAACACAGATATATTATTCTCTGAATAAGCTCTGTTTGTATGGGTTTGTCATAAAAATAAATGTATGTGAAAAAGCCATAACAAAAAGAGATTACCTATGTTTAACGAAGAACTGTGACTACAACTGAAGCAGCCTTTGTTTTGTTTCATTTGTTTTCAATAAATTTTGGTAAATTTTCTGGTAACAAATGTTATAACATGTTAATAAAAGCTTTGTTTACTGACTTATTCTTTTGAGGCACTTACTAATTTATGGTTTTGCTGAAATTCCCATATCGCTGTGATGATACGTAGACTTGAAAAGAACAAATGAGTGATTTATAGAACCCTGGCCTACTCGTGCGCCACTTTTTTAAGTACACACGTTTAACTGCTTTTTAACATAAATAGCTAATCAGCCAGAGAAGCAACTTTAACCTCCTAAGACTTGAGCTCTTCCATGGCATGCATTTTTAATATTTCTTTGATATTTGGGCATATTGGGATCTCATGAATGTAAAAACAAAGAATTGCCAGATCTTTTTTTTTTAACCTCATTTTTATTTCTGACAAAAATGAGATCGACATATGAGGACATTTGTTTTAAATTTTGATAGAAAAGTGGCAGTAGAATGTCCTCCTAAGTGGATATCAGGCACTTGTAGAGAAATATTAGTGTTTTTAGGTCTAGACAATCCAAAATGTGATGTCCACATATGTGGACACAAGGTCCTAGGAGGTTAAATGTGATGTGGTTGTTTGTGTGGGGCTGTGTATGTCAAGAATTGCTGATCACATGTCTATGGTTTCCAGATAATGGTCTGAAAAAGAGAAAATATAAGTGAGCAGCAGTTCCCTGTGTGAAACTGCTTTGTTGATGTCAGAGGAGAATGGCCGCTTTGAGCTGATAGGAAGGCAACAGTCACTCAAATAACTATAAGTTAAAACCCAAATATGTGAAAGAGCATCTCTGAATGTATAACATGTCAAAACTTGAAGCAGATGGAGGCCACACCGAGTGCCACTCCTGCCAGCTAAGATCAGGAAACTGAGGCTAATTTGATAAAATGCAAGATTGTAAGAATCCTGATTGGTCTGATGAGTCAGAACATTGATCCATTCTGCTTTGCACCAAGCTGTGTAGTGTGCGTCAAACTCAGGTTAAAATTCAGAAAATTCTGGGTTTTTCAGTAATGATATCTGAAAATCTTAGCAGGTCTCTGTGTCTTTTGTCAAGCACATGTTTGGGGCTGCACACAAATACCCCAAGTCCCTGAGTGCTTTGTTTTGAATGGTACATAAACACTGGAGCCATTCTCATTCACAATGTTGATAATCCAATTATGGATCCATAATTACCAGCATAATAGAATGTTACCTATCTTTGAGAACCCATTTTTGGGTTAATGAAATTTATTTTAATCATCTGTTCCTGATTACATCTAGAGCAGGGTGCCAGGAAATCTGATTACGTCACAGTGCTCTCCTTTTTACTTCTGTTGCTGCCACACAAAAGGTCCCAAATCACTCATTATTCCTGCTGGTAATCAACAAACTGCCTTTTCACAATGTAATCAGCACAGTAACTGAAACTGAAAGCCTATACTTCAGAGAATTGCAGCAGGCTGGTGGCCTGTATATAAAGCTTATGCAGCGCCCAACATAATGCTGCATTTAAGCTGCATTTATTACAAGAAGTAATAAGAAATAATGAAAACACGCATGAAGGGTGAAATGGCCTACAGCACAAAAAAGGTATGTATCCCAGTGTGTGTCTTATTATTTATGTATTTATGTCATGGATTTCTTATGGTTTAAAGTCAGGAAAATAAGTTCAGATTCTCTGGTACCCGAAAAATAACATTATATGGATTTCACTTTATTTATTCTTTAAAAAACAAAACAAACAAAAGACAGCCACTGGGTCTCGATGTAAGTGCTCTTACTAAAGAAAAACTACAGTGTAAATCCGGAAAAGGAAATAGCGCCGTAGAGGTCACCGAGTTCTCGCGGTGGCAGCCGGGACTTCGGCGGACTGTGTGCCTGCGCTGAGGAAAGGTGCGTGTCCCCAGTGTCCGCTCCGGTCGCCCGGTTAGGAATGCGCCTCACGAACCCGGTGTGTGCTGTAGTATTTGACGAAACGCCAGTGGGGACCGCCGTTTAAGAAGAGTCATGGTTTGGCACTGCTTGTACCATTAGTTTCTCGGCGTGTGAGCTTGATTCATTGAGCTAGCTAGTCGTTAGCCCGCTTCGTTGATTCATACTCACGCTAGCTTCAGTCTGTAGCATACCCGCTAGCCGGTTAGCCAATCCAGAGTCGAGTAGGAGAGAACCAGACTGACTGCTGAACTCAGCCGGCGTTTCGGGGAGAAGCGGCGGCGGTGGTGGTGGCAGGAGGGGGCCGGGAGAACGCGACGGGGTAGAAGTGAGTCAGGAGCGGCTGATGAGTTCAGACCAGAGCGGAGAGCCGCCGCTGCTGCAGGAGGAGGCTGATCCCGGACCGAAGACCGGTGGGAAGGACGAGGCTCCGCTGGGGAGCGAGGGAGGGTCAGGCGGCATGGTGAGTGAGGCCTTCTTTAGCCTGTTAGCTTACTGGCTAAGCGACTGCCGCTTTCTAACAGGGAGACCTGTTAGCACAGTACGCCCCCTCTGCGTAATTAGCTTTGTTATTTATTACACATCTAAAATTAACTCAAACAAGATCAAGAATGAAACTTTGAGCGCGTTTGTGAATGTGTGTGAGTTTTTGCGTGACTGTTTTGTGACTATGTGAGAAAGCGGGACCAGAATCAAAGACTTTCACGACTACTTACTCTACTTGCTGCCAGTACAAGCTTTACTTTTACACACTTGGTGATGGTGGCGGTGTGTGTGGGGGGGTTATAGCAGTAGCTCTACCGCAGCTCATTCAGATAGCTGCTAACTGTAGCTTAGCCGTTGTAACCAGCAAGCTCATTAAGTAGTTTGCTGAGTAATCATTAGCCCGTGAGTTAAGTTTTGACAGAGCTTTAGGATGACTGCGGTGGTATTTGAAGCGGACACGCGCCGAATCAGTTGTTTTCCGTTAGCGGGTGAACGATGCTTCAATTACTGGCCGAATGATAGTGTTCATTCACTCCGTTATCTGTGAGCTAATCGCGGTGCTAGCAGACCTAGCTAGCGCAGTGACATGCGTTGCAAATACCTGGCCTTTGCTGCGCAGCGCAGTCAGCTGACATTGCTTGGCTCACTGTGGCCTGTAACACAGAAGCGTGCATTGTAACCATGTGTCAAGTTGCACCGCACATAAATGTCCGCGCTTGTCTGAATGGCACAGAGGCCTCTCCTATGGGTATACATCCCGTTCTTGTTGTGTGATCGGGGAGGAGAAGTGCCCTGAGCCATACTACCACCGGCAGCTGCTCTTGTCAGGCCAAGTGCTTTTGCAAAAAAGAGCCAGGATCTGTTAGCAGGTGGTGAATGACAATGTGAAGTAAATCTGACAGTTTAGCAGGAAGCTGCCATCCACTTTACACAAGATTAAAAGCACAGTCCACAGTTAGCTCACATCAAGATCACATCGGTGTCTGTAGATCTTAATGTGTCAGTGTGCAATCTATTCTTGGCCACAGATCTTTGCAGGGTCAGGATTTCTTCTGCCAGACCATAGCCGGTTTGGTATGGAGAGTCACATCAGATCTGTGGATAACATACATGGGAAATAAATTTATGCTGGTGAAGGTAACATGTAACGTGTTAGTTTGCAAATATTTTGACTACACACAGCTTTTATAGTCACCCCTCCTTGAGGTGAACAGGGTAAGGGCTGATTTTGTTGACAGGAGATCACAAGGCCTTATGGGGACATGTGTCACTGGGATGTTCCAGCCATCAGTATAAATTTAATCAATGAAAATCAGCAGACATAGCTGTAGTTGGCTATGACCCATCTACAGCTCCTCTCTTAGTCTATTATGGTGTTGTTGAAGACCATAATTTAGTTTGGCTTTGTTGTCCCCTGGTGTCAGAATCAAAATATTTTATTAATATCAGAGGGGAGTAATTTTCATTCAGATGCACACTTAAAACATAAATGGGGAAAAATACAAATGAAATATAAAATATAAACAAAACTGGATAAAACTAAGGCACTCAAACTGCCATATTAGAACAATACTATAAACATTATAGACAGTGTATTAGTTATAACAGTCTAGGTGTCATAAGGGGGAGTTATAAAGTTTTTTGGCCAATAGTAGGGGTGATTTCATGTGGTGTTTTTGTGGTGTATTGTGGTTGAATGAGTCTTTTGCTGAACATGCTCCTATGGCTGTCCAGCACAAGGTAAAAAGGGTGTGAAGGATTGTTCAATATTGACTGTAACTTGGATTGCATCCTCCTTCCTTAAACCTCTGCTGGAGTAAGGGCAAACATGCCTTGAGACGTGCAGCAGAGGTCTAAGATTTAAAACTCTGTTTCTTAAAAAGGAATAAAAAGCAACCGGGGGGAAAAAAGAAGCAAAACTCAGGTGACAGATGTGTAAATGGTCACACATTTGTTAGTCAAAAGAGCCCTTATTTGAATGCGTCTTACGTTTGAAGAACCACTAAAAGCATTAAACAGATGAAACGTGTGCATTTCAGTGCTTAAATATAAACTCTTAAATTTCAACAGTAAAATTTAGATAACTGACAACTTACCTCTGCTCGAAAATAAGCATCACTCTGCTTTCAGTGTTTGTCGGAACCAAATTTGATTGATTCTCCTCTTTCTGTTTTGAAGGTCACCTTCAAGGGTGCTGGTTTGAATCCTAATGCCAAGGTGTGGCAGGAGATGCCCGTGGCCCCCAGCGAGACCGTTACCAGCAACCCTCATTGGTCTCCCTCGGATCTCAATGAGGGTAAGAAATGAAAGAATATGCTAAACTGATTTTATTGCGCTTTACAGCACGTGTTTGGAAATTAAGTTTGAAGGCTTTTTTGGGAAACTGGACATTGTGACACCCATGTCTACTCATGGGATTATTTCCCCTTTTTGAGTCAACACTCCTAACGTTGTTATTGGTGTTTTAAAATAATTTTGGGGCCTTACTACTTTTAAAAAAAAAATCGCAACTTTTTTCATGTACACAAACAATAAATAGCTAAACCATCAGAGATGCGGGTAAGTTTGAAATAGACTGTGCTCTTTCTGAATCAGACTCTTTACCTTGTTCACAGGTTATTCTGAGCCTCCGTCTGCTGGGTGCAAGCAGTATACCGTGGGATTCCCGGCCCTGGATAACAGCAGCTCCACAGCAACAGCTGAGATAGCAGTAAATGGAATGGACCCTCCAGAGTTGGGCTTTTCCCCCGCTGAGTCTACAACAGGGACCTCAGGTCAGTCCTGACACAAGAAGTCATCTTCACACACACAGGCTGCAGCTAAAAATTAGTGTTTTTTCAATACGTCTGAAAACAGGAAATTATGAACAACCTGAATGCACTGAGGTGGCAGATTGAGTGATCTGATACCATAAAATGTATCAACAGCTTAAAATACAGGACTTTCATGCAGATGTGTTCACAAAACTCTTTGTCCCACGAGGGAAATTTGTCTGGGAGCCAGATGAAACACTGGCTAAACTGAGAGACTGCTGGGTCACACCTAACCTGTAGAGTTATTTGTATTTAATTACCACCCTGACAAAAACCCTGTCTTAATCACTTGTGTTGCTAAGCATATGGAAACTTGGAACCACTGGCCCCTGTGTTAGTTACACCTGTGCAATCTAATGCCCCCCCAAGGTCATAGATAAAGGTGTTGTTGTACACCCTGTATGTGTACAACAACACCTTTATCTGAGTTTGAATGGAGTAGAGTAAAAGTCACCTCAATCTAGCCGCTCTTCCAGTAACTCCAACTTTTCCTGTCGCGCTTATGACACGGATGAATCTGACACTGTTGGAGTCATTTCAGTCACTGCTTATAATGTCATGTGACATCAGCATATGTCTTTGAAAAGAAAAAGGTTGTGTTGGAAAAATAATGTCATTAATGCTTTTTAACAGAAAACATTGCAATTTTCTTTTTTTAACCAATGATTCTTTTACATTTTACAGTGGATTCAAAAACGGAAGAACAGCCAATCTCTTCTGAGAATCTGCGAGAGTCTCTGAAGAAAGAACTGGAGTATTATTTCTCCAGGTAAGAAGCCAACACCTAAAGCAAATTTTTTTTATGTGCAAAATTTAGAAAATAGTTTTCTCTTGACTGTTTGCAGAAGCTAATCTACATGAATGTATTTATTTATTTTGATTCAGAGAGAACCTCTCAAAGGATTTGTACCTGATGTCCCAGATGGACAGCGATCAGTTTGTCCCTATTTGGACTATTGCCAGTATGGAGAGCATTAAAGTCCTCACTACAGACATGGACCTCATTCTGGATGTGTTGAGATGTAAGTGAAAAGCTGAGGATGGCTCATGTTTAAAAAGGTGTGTACTGATTGGTCTTTTGCCTCAGCTTAAATATTCTTAAACCCACTCTTCCTTCCAGCCTCTCCTATGGTACAAGTGGATGAGAAAGGGGAGAAAGTGCGTCCTAATCACAAGCGGTGCATTATCATTTTGAGAGAAGTTCCCGAAACCACACCTGTTGAGGTAAGAAAAAAAAAAGTTTGACTGACAGGCCATTAAAGCACTGAAAACATAGTTATATGCTTGAAGTGAGTATGCATTGTATTCAATTCACAGGAAGTGGAGTCATTGTTCAAAAATGACAACTGTCCAAAGGTTATAAGTGTCGAGTTTGCACACAACAACAACTGGTACATCACATTCCAATCGGACACAGATGCTCAACAGGTACTCAGCTCAACTCTTCTTCATCATGTCTAAAGTATTCAGATGAAATCCAGCATCACTGATAGTCGTTTGACTCTTTTTCTTACCCCCCTAGGCGTACAAGTACTTGAGAGAAGAAGTAAAAACATTTCAGGGAAAACCCATTATGGTGAGTTAAATTAAAATCTGACATTTTGGAAAGGCCCCTCTGTAAACATCTTGACGTCTGTTGACACATTTCCCCTCTGATTCATACCAACAGGCCAGAATAAAGGCCATCAACACATTTTTTGCAAAGAACGGCTACCGTAGCATGGACAGCAGCCTGTACGCTCAGCAGTCCCAGAGCCAGTCCCAGTACAGCTCTCCGCTCTACATGCAGCACGTCTACCCCCAGCAGCAGTACCCCCTCTACGGCATCGTACCTCCCACCTGGACACCTTCGCCCACACCGTACTTTGAAACGCCTCTGGTGAGATTGACTGTGCTTTTGCTGCTGTGAGACTAACTAAAACCCTCTGTCAGAGGATCTACAGTCAAAGGGGCGAATTCAGTGTAATCTTAAAAGTGTATTATTAATGTTAATTTATTATTTATAGAAGGTGTTTTTGTCACAGGACTTCAGGGACCATTGCACACCTGCACACCTGCACACTAATCATCCAAGTTTATTTTGCACTAATCGAAATAACTGCATCTTTACAAATATAGCCAAATACAGTCAGGCATTAATGTCTGTTCTGTGTGATTATTAAAACCCAGAAAACAGAAAGCCACACTTCATGCACCTCAAAGGCTTTTGTCTGCGTTCATCACCAGCATTCAGCACCTAAATATAATGCAGGAAATCAACCGTGCAAAATGTGTTTCGCGCCAGCTGTGGCAGAATCCCTTGTTAGTTATTGCTTCCTTATTTATTGTGATGCTTAAATTCAGATGCTTTGCTTTCTGAAATGTCAATGACATAAATACACAATGTTGCATAAGAATTGGCTGGGATGTTTTTGTTTTTTTTCTTTTCTAAATCCGCTCTACAATGAGCTTACCTATTTTCATCTCCTTGGGGAAAGCTAAACAACAGATATCTGCAAATAAGTGTTTCTTTAAGGAGGATTAGTAAATACTGACTTTTTTATTTATTTTTGCCCCCTTCCACCTCTTGAGCAGGCTCCGTTTCCCAACAGTAGCTTTGTGAATGGATTTGGCTCCGCTGGACACTACAAGACCAGCTCCAGTTCTCTTAATATCTCTCGCCCATTCAACAGAAGCCGGTAAGGATTATTGTTGTGAGCTTTTTGTTTGTTTGTTTGGGGGGGTCTCTTTTCTCAAACATATTAGAATGTTTTATCACTTGTGTTCTTGTTTGCATGAAGTTAAACAGTGAACATCGGACCATCTCTGTAATACAGTTTGTCTAAAGTTAAAGAGGGAACTGCTCATCACTCCCTGTCTTCTTTTACTTCCCCACAGTGTACCCCTCTATTCAAGAAAGAATGTAATAAATGCCTTCAGGTACCACTGTTGTTCTATATAATGAGCTTCATTGCTTCCCTCATTTCTTACCATACCGCAGTAGCCAGATGATTAAATACATAACAGGCCCCATGCCTTCTGCCAGGCAGATTTTTATGGCCATAATCGTCCTCGTAGTTGTGATAAATGTTTGGTGCCTTTTTATGAGCGTCCTGGATTTGTCTTTCCTTTGATAAATGCTGGCTGCAATCTGATTTCAAGCAACTGGCTTTATTTATTTATTTTTCCAGTTAAGGCCATCTTGCCCTTCTTTGCATTTACATTATTACATGTGACAGCTTCTCTCCATCACAACTAACTATCCATCATGTGTAGTCTCTTTTTATTTGTGCTGCTTTCATTCGTGACTGTCATCATATGCTGTAACAAAGAAATGCTGACAGGAGTTGAGTGTAGGTCATCTCTGCTGTCAAGCATCAATTCATACACTGCATTTTTGTGCAAAGAGATGACAACTTTTTCAAGCGTGTTCATCACGTTTGTTCAAAAGAAGCTTCACAAAGACATAAGTCAGACCCAGTGATGAGATCATGATGCGCATAGAGGGAAAGAGGGATGGAAGAACTGACTTTGGTTCTCTCGCTTTCTTCATCTTTTCTCTTTGCTCTTTCTCTCTCTCTCTCTGTTCTCCCTGTGGACTTTCAAAGTCAGGAATTTCAGTCCCAACCCAATGAGCGTTCAGATTATGAGATCTGAGGGTCAAAGACCGGTGGGAAGATAAGTTTATGTGAAATCATGCTAATCATACAACATCTAAAAGGTTTATTTGTGGCACAAATCCTGGCAGGTCTTGCAGGGGTGTTGTCAGCTCTGCTCAGTGAGTTAATGATTGGTTGCAGATAGCCAAACACAGTAATTCTGACATCTGAGTTTTAGCTGCTTCAGCCAATCATGACCTCAGTTGTAGTCCAAAACCACCTGCATGTCTACGTTTACTCTGAAGACACAGCATGTTGTCCCATTTCCCTTGCAAACTGTCAAGTTTAGTGTGGTTGCCACCAGTGTTTCCTTTGAACTGACTGAACCGTTTTAGCTTCTTTTCACTAGAAAATAGTTTATTTCCTTTGAAGACTTCAAATGAAATGATGTGTATAGGCTTCTAATTACCTCAGATTGAAGTGCATGATTTTCAGTGTTTTAACACAAGATTTACTCTTAAGTTCATACAGTGGTTTAGGGCTGTGCGTTATGACCAAAATCTCATATCCCGATATAAGACGTTTATCGTCCCGACAACGATATTTATCACAAAAGTTTTACGTTTTCTGTAACTTCTGTGAATCTCGGGCAACTCGACTTGCACAAAGTGTTTTTCACCTGGGCGTCGTGTACCTGGAGTCGAGTTTAAACGGACACAATTTTAACAATTTTTGTGAGTATTACACGGCGTGCTGCTGGGAAAAGCCTGTCCTAAGGTTTTTATTTATTTTATTTTTTTAGCGCCTGACGGCTCTTTTTAGCTTCTCATCCGTAAACACGCTGCATACTATTTCATGTGATTCAGTTTATTTTGAAAAATCTCAACAGGATCTTAAGCTTTATTGTGAAAGGTTTATGTGGAAAATAAACAAGCGGTTTTACCTTTGTTGTTGCTAACGAAATGCATAAAGCAGTTGTCCGTCCGTAGTGTGGGTATTTTAAATATGAGAGAAATTCTACAGTGACCATCAAAACGATGAAAAACTATTGCTGTAAACAGTTCATTTTGCGACACCACGAAACAAACAATAGCGTAATATGAAACGATAGACGTTTTTATATCGTCATCCGAAATATATAGTTATATCGAACAGCCCTACAGTGGTTTAACATCTTATAGCCAACAAATTGGATTAATGTACTTGTAACAGCTGCTGAACTGCTTTCAAAGGCTCTGGATGTGTATTACACAGATCTGTTTCCTTGGAACACATAAGCATAATGTCTTGTGTATTTTATGACTGCAAAAAATACACGACAAAAAGTTGGTAAATGTGTAAAAATATAAATCCTGAACGGAATAACTTATATTACGTGGACTTAAGTGTAAAAGCACCTTAACCAAAATTTATTAAGTTCAGTAGGAAGCACTGGTTGCCAATTTGTATGCAGAGCATTTTAAATGCATAGTAACCTTGATCTTCACTTTCCCCTCACGACAACAGAAACCACGTGAAGCCCCAGGTGAGGCCAAACGACGTGACCTCAGCATCCGTAACACCGGTCCCACTGGAAAGCCTGACCGGACTGCGAAGCCCGCAGCCTCCTGCTCCCAACGCTACTGCCGCCGTCTCCACTACTAACACAGTCCAGACAACCACTGACTTGACCATGGCATTCTCGCATCTACCCCCCTCTTCCTCATTGGACGCCAGCGATGACAGTGGGGTAGCTGGACGTGGAAGGTAAGCATCACCTGTTTCAAACCTGGTCGAATGTTAGAGCTGCTGCTCGTGGGTTAGATTTGATAGGTTATGATATTTCCATCGATTTAAGCAGGTTAGAGTTGACTTTAACCAAAAGTCATATTTTGAACTAAATGCAGTTTAAATGAGTAAAAGGGTTTTTAGACCTAGACATGAGTGTCATTTCAGTGGGTAGGTACTACTCAGATTTGATTTTTTTTTTTTTTTTTTTTTTTTTTTGGTAAATGAAACAAACAAAACAGTCAACTTGGGAGTTCAAAATTCCACTTACAGCATTAATCATCAACTTGAAGACTAAAACTAAACTTTTTTCCAGGAGCATGCCTCACTGTGTCCCCAGTGTCAACAGCAGCACCTGTGCTTGAGCTAGTTGCACATGTTCTTTTTTGTCTGTTGCTTCAAACATTTTCTTTCTGATTTATATGTAAACATCAAATGATGTCATTGAAATTTGCTTATTGACTGACGCATGCTTAATGGATTTGGCATGCATATGACTTTTGACTCACTTGACTCCTTATTCACACCTTATTTATTTGTATTTCAGACGTACGACCTACAGAGGAACACGGAGGAGGCGAGAAGAAGAACGGATTGCGGTAAACAGCAATTACCTATGGCCATAAAACTTGTATGTTGTGTTTAAAACCATGAACCATGTAATGATATTTCTGCCCGTTGGCTCTGTTTTTAATTCCTTTTCTCAGAGGCCTGTACCCTTAACAGAGGTCAAGGTTTCACCACCCAAGTTTGACCTGGCTGCTACCAACTTCCCTCCTCTTCCGGGCTGTGTGGTCAGCACACAGGGGGAGCCAGTGTTAGAAAACCGGATGTCGGATGTAGTACGTGGTTTGTACAGGGACAAGGTAAGAAAACGAGTTTGTAAATCTCTTGAACAATGATGCACAGAAAGCATTGTTGAGATGAGGACTGCACAAGTGTAACCTTCATGCACTTTGCTTTTTATAGGCAGAACAAGCCAATAAAGAAGCCACTGCGAGTCCAGGTTCAGGTCAAGTCACAGAGGAAGCTGTGGCTGTCATAAGTCCTGCCCCGGCAGCTGCAAAATCTGCTACTCAACCACTTGGACCTTCAGCCTCTGGGTATGATTGTCTCTGCTCTTAATTTGAGCATGTTTTGTTCTTACAATAAAACTTAAAATGTTAGCTTTGCTAACTGAACCTCTTGTCCTGATAGTACTGTTCGTCAGGAGAAGAGAGTCGAACGGGTGGAACCTACGACTCAAAAACCAACTCCACGCACACCTGTCAAAACTCCGGGCAACCCCGCCTCCACACAGCCTGTGCCTAGCTCCAGGCCTCAGACCTCTGCTGCTTCCACACCAGCCACACCCAGCACGGCTGCCCCTGCGACAGCCGCTCTTCCCACCCCTGCACAGGTGAGAATCTGACTTTCCTGTTGTTGCTGCCGCCACATGAGCACAGTTGTCTTCCTGATGATGAGATCTTTTGCGCATAGAGGGAAAGTGAGGTAGTGAATTGACTGGCTTTGGCTCTATCCCTCATCTCTGTCACTCTTTCTTTTTTCTTCTCTCTCTCTCTCATTTCACCCCAACCCCTCCCCTCATGCTTCTGTCTCACCAAAAGTCCAGAATTTTCACTCCTACCCCAATGAGCGTCAAGATTATGAGATCTGAGGGTTTGACTGGAAGGGTGCTAAAACTCAGTAAATGAGTGTATGTTTTACCCATCTAATAAATGTTTTTTCTGTTTTTGTTTAGGAGCCCCGTAAACTCAGCTACGCCGAAGTGTGTCAAAGGCCACCCAAGGACCCTCCCCCTGCATCCCCTGCCCCGGCCACCCCGGCCACCTCTAGCACTGCGTCGGGCCAGCCACTACGTGAATTGCGCGTGAACAAGGCCGAGGAGCCGGGCTCCAGCAGCAGTCCTGGAGACAAGCACGAGAGAAGCCACGACAGGGAGGGGGGATGGGAATGCAAGGAGAGCCGGCCACCGCGTGAACGTGACTCTCAAGGCTACCACCGCAGCAATGGTCCCAGGGGCACCGGGGGCCTCAAGTTCCGGGACCATAGGCGTCCTCCACCACCCCGACGCAGCTCCCCGCAGGGAGGATACAGGCACACTGGAAAAGAGCAGAACATCCCACCAGTATCGCCAAAATAAAAACTTGATATCAATAGAAAAAGATGTATGAATATATACATGGATATATATAATTATATAAAAATGAATAACATAAAAGCAACAACAATTATGGTAGCCACCTTCCTCACCCCCCTGGAACATGTCCAAAGAGAGGCTTTTAAAGTGGCAATGAGACTGACATCCAGGACTTATGGGCAAAATGACACCTGAAGAACTTTGACGAGTGATTGGAAAAGAAACAAAAACGTTGTTTTGGCCTTCAGAAATACGCTTAAAAGAATTTAAGTGTGACTTACCTGAAGGTTGTTGATTCGTTCATGCTCCGCTAGGGAAAGGTGGGATGCTGGGCCTCGTAAATGGCCCTCTACCTTTTTTTTTTTTTTTTTAATTAAAGAATAGATGTTGGTCTGCAAGAACAATATGCACTAAGAAAAAAGAACATGCATATATGTCATGTACATATACAAAGATATCACTAACACGCAATGAGACATCAGTTTTTGTTTGTTTTTTCTCTTGTGTGCTTAGGTTTGCAAGTATGACTGAAGGGTTGACTGATGTCTGTGTATGCATCGATTGTTAAGCTAAATGACTGAAGTGCTGCAGGGTGCTGTCACACTGATGTAATGATATTGAGGACATTTTGATTTTTACAGCAGAGATTCTGAATCGTCCTGAAAGGGACAATGTGGTCTTCTAATGTATATCAATGAATTGTGTTCTATGGTGGTATTTTGATCCTGGTTCATGATTGGCTTAAACGCTCTCTGTCAGATTATCAGAAGGTGTTGACATGCACCGCGGTCAGATGTGTGATTTTTCTTCAAAGCCCGGATGCTCTGTAGGGGGGGGGGGCTCACTGGGCTGTTAGCCACGGTGAACCTGCTAGCCTGGTCCAAAGTTTTTCACGTTGAGTTTTACGTGTTTTGAGTTTAACTGTTCCGATGAATTCAGAATATCGTCATGTTGATTATCAGTCAGGTTCTCTGTTTACATGTTTTGTTGTGGGTTTTGCTTTTTGGGGGGTTCGTGTGTTTTCATGAGGAAAAACAAATAGGTTTTGCTAAGATTTGACTGCTTGGTGCGCCCAGTGGTTTTAGGCAAGGTTTGGCTTTTCTACATCATCATCACGGGATATCCAGGTTAAGCTTATCTGTGAATTTGTTCTTAACAATGGCATAATGTCAAAAAAAATAGACTGAGTGCTGTTAGCTAATGATGATAGCTATTTACTATCAGGCAGCCAAGTTGTGGGTATAAAGGAAATTGGAATATTTTCACGTGCTACGTGCCAGCTGGCTGCGATTATAGTGTGCTAGGATAAAGTTTAGATTTTTATTGATGAGGTCTGCTAATGTAATCGTTGGGGGAACTCTTTGGCCCAGTGAAACTGGATTTTGAAAAAGCTGTAGAGGTGTAGTAACCTATGCTATATTGTAATAACCCTTCACTAGAAACGTGTGTGGGAGAATGTAATTGTTCTAGTATTGAATTTACGGAGGGAGGCTTTTGACCAGTCAATCCACCAGATTGTTTTGTGCTTTTAGGGTGAGTTTGCTGTTTTGTTTTGTTTTCCTTTTGTTTGTTTTTCTTCTAAGTTTTGGAAAACAAACAGGTTAACTTAGAATTTGAAGTTTGACTCACTGTATGTATTGCTTTCTTAAATTTATTTATTTTAATTCTAATGCAGCGCTTTTCTCCCAATCTTGGTAGGCTGGTTTCCCCAAAGTTGTGTGAAATCGCATTGGCAAAAAAGAAAAAAAATCACATATGACATTTCTGTACCGATCAAGATGTCAGCTGAGAGAAAATACTTGTTGCGTTGACTTTGGGTTTAGTAATGCAGTAAACGAGTATCCAATCACTGGAGCTGTTTTTTGTTTTGTTTTTTTCATTAATAAGTATGAGCAGCTAGTGATTTAGTATAATTAAAGAAATGCACTAACTTTGTTTTTAAAAAGAATCTTACTCATGAGTAATGTGAAATCATTTTAGAAGCATATGGTTGATGTTGACAGGCTTGCAAAAATACCTACAGGATTTGCTCCCCCCCCCCCCCAAAAAAAAAAATATGTTTGGGTTATTTTCTGTTAATTTGGGTTGGGGTGGCAAATGGAAATGTAGTCATGAATCAACCAAGTGTTTGAGACACAATCTTAGAACTGTATGAAATGTCACCAAAAATAAATTATTTTGATTTGGCTTCCCAGTGTCACATTTATTACTGTTGTTTTGCTTTAAGCACCTACACGAAACATATGTTTTCTTTTAGTGTATCAAGCTGCGCTCCCATAATGCATTGCGGCGTGACGTCAACTCCAAAGCCCTATAGAACTACAGACTGAATATCCTGCATCTCTGATCATTTGTTACATTGTTTATTTTTATTTTATTGTTTTTAAAACATTTAAAGTCAAAAAGAGCAGACAACATTTTTCCAGTCTTCCACTGTGAAATTGTGTGTATTGCAGCTTCAGTCTTCTCTTCTCAGCTGACAGAAGTGTGGTCTTCTGCTGCTGTAGCACATCTGCTTCAAGGTCCAATGTGTTCAGAGAGGCTCTTCCGCATACTTCTGTTGTAGCAAGTGGTTATTTGAGTGACTATTTGCTCGAAGCTGGCTGGCCAATCTGCCACCAACAAGGTATTTTGACACAGACCTGCCACATGGTGAATATCATTTTATCAGACCATTCTCAGTAAATGGCTGTAGGGGGAAATCCCAGTGGATCAGACATTTTGTTGGTCTCAGTTCCACCATCAGGCCGGGGTCTTTCTGTGTGGAGTTTGCATGTTCTTCCCGTGTTTGCGTGGGTTCTCTCCAGGTACTCCGGCTTCCTCACAAATTCCAAAGACATGCAGTTAGTGGGAATAGGTTAATTGGTAACTCTAAATTGCCCATAAGTGTGAATGGTTGTTTGTCTCAGCCCTGCAGCAAACTAGCGACCTGTCCAGAGTGTACCCTGCCTCTCGCCCTGAGACAGCTTGGATAGGCTTCAGCCCCCTCCCCAACAAGGATAAGCGGAAGAGAATGGATTCATGCATTTCAGTTGGTACAGGGTCTAGATTTTTCACTGCAATGCCACAGGTAGTGTTAATAAGTATTGTGTCACTCCATAAAAAATTTTCACTGCCTCCCCCCTGAATGACAAATTTCATTTGGCTTCATGCACTCTTATGATGATTCATAATTGCTGGAAAACAACAAAAATAAATAAAATTAGCACATATCTTGTGGGGGAGCTTTCCTCCTGCTGTAGAGCCTTGCCCCCTAAGCTGCCCACCTTGTACAAACTAATTGCTTGTTTGTCTAAAAGCCTCTTATAGCCTTTATTTTCTTAGGAGATAATGATACAATAAATAATTTTTAAGTGTTTTTGTCAATAATTTCTTGATTCTGTTTACGTATAGGGGATTTTGACATATTTCTCTGAAGAGGTATGTACCACCCTGCCTAGACATTTTGCCCCCCCTGTGAAATTTTCTAGATCCGCCGCTGACGTATGGCCTATATGTGGTTCGGCTACCCATTTTTAGGCGCGTATGCTGAGAGTTGATGTCGGCATGGGACTATCAGGTTCAGGATTAGGTTAAACCTTAGGGATAAAGTAAGAAGATGATAAAAACTGCTTATCCTTAGCTAGTACTCTCCTGATCATCGGAGTCCAACTCCCCACCTCCTCTGCCGCTGTTTCTGCTAGCTGAGCCCCTAACATGGACATAAACTGAAAGAATCCGTGGCACGCCGGTGGTAGCCTGCCTGAGTACACTTGGCGAGGACGTGGAGTTCTGCCAGGCCCCGTAAACGTCGGTGTTCAGAGAAAATGTCAGGTTATACCAAATTACTGCGGACAGTCAGCGTCCACTCTGCCCGCGTTTAAATACCGAGGTTCGAGACAGAGGGCGTGGCCCTAGTGGTGACGTTTCGTGTTTATGTGAAAGCTAGCAGCGGTCGGTCTATACAGTAACCTGCCAGACCTTCAAGCCGTGGACTGTAAACGGTATGGGTTTTCACCAGCATTGTTTAATTCTTGTTGATTCGTGCGAGCTGTGTTGGAAGGCGAGTTTACAAGTAGTTGGTAGTTATGTCAGCGGTTTTTCTCCGTCTGTGAGTGTCGTTTGTTCCTGCATCTCGAAGCTAACATTACCTCGCAGCTAGCTAGCCTAGCTAGCAGGATAGTGGGAAGTGTAGCCGGGTATGATTGTTTTTCTTTTGCCTATAAACTCCTCCGGTCAGCGCGAAGTAACCCTTGTGGTTTCTACGCCAACGTTAAAGCGTTTACTTGATTGTAAACCTTGTGTCATTGTTGCAGACTTTGTTTATTTTTGCAGAGTGAGCTAAGGTTAGCTGTGTGTGTCAGTCATTTGTTAAAAGCAGCGGCGATAGCTGCTTATAGATGTGGCTCGTATCTACTTCAGTTAGGTAGCAACAGCAAAATAAAGTTGGGTGTCATCTCCCTGATTACAGCTGAGCCTTGCACCATCTAGATTATACGACAAGACATCGTGTCCAACCCACACCCAAACAGATAATAGTCGGGAAAGATAATTTTGAATATTAATTTTGGTATTTTAACAAAGCTGTGTGAAATTTCGGTCTTTAGTTAAACAATTTCTAACACATTCTGTATGTAAATTGAAAATATTTTGTATTTATAGCAAGCATATAACTCATCAAACCAAAGCACTGGTATACTGAATAAAACAGGTCTGCGTGCATACTTAGGCACGATAAACTGTGAAATGTCTGTTTTATATTCTGTTGACTCACTGTGTCTTAGAAGTTGTAATCAAGCAATTTTTAAAAACTGTGTTTCAGTGTGCCATAGCGTCACCCCTGCCTGGGTGCAATGCTCTTCTGTTACACATGAGCTCTACTATGTGGTACATCATGCAAAGCATTCAGAGTAAATATTCCCTGTCTGAGCGGCTCATCCGAACAATTGCAGCCATTCGCTCATTCCCGCACGACAATGTGGAGGATCTTATCCGTAAGGTAGGCTTGCTTATCTTCCAGTCAAAGTGACGTAAACAATCCCCTGTAGTGTCATGAGTGTAATGTTGATATTGTTATTTCCTGGCTGATTAAGGGTGCTGATGTGAATCGGATGCATGGCACACTCAAACCCCTGCACTGTGCCTGTATGGTTGCTGATGCTGACTGTGTGGAGCTGCTGCTGGAGAAGGGGGCAGAGGTATGTTACAGCTGCACACGGAAGTTTTTCATATTCACTTTAGATTTATTCGGCACCTTTAAAGGTTTTGGCCTTAAGGCGGGTAAGTATGCATGCAAACACAGTCAGTGTAAGTGTGAGCAGGACAAAGGTTAAAAGCTTTCTAAATGTAAAGAAGACACCTAGCATTGTTTACACTGAAG